AGTGGGGTTAGGGATCGGGAGATGCTGAACCCTTGTACCACATACAACATTGCATAAACGTTTGACCAGTGGAGCGCATCACATCAAATGATGTTTTAGGTACATTGTAACATTTGAAACTCCTGCAGGTGCACAATGGTTCCAGTCAGTATTTGAGACTTCCAGTAAACATTTTATGAGGGTCCGGTAGTACAGTCGGGTTCATTCTCGACTCACAATTGAGAATTCTGGGTTCAAATCCCTGGCAGCGCAGAAATGGTTGAGTGCATTTCCTTTCACATCATGCCCTTGTCCATCTAGCAGTAAATAGATACCCAGCAGTTAATCAGCTTGTTATGGGGGTTGCATCCTGGGCAGGGTCAGTAATTTGACCTGGGGGGAGGGGACCGCAGTATACACTTAATACAGTATGTACTATATGTATAACCTGGCGACACAATGAATTATTATTGTCATATTGAATAGACACTTGCAGTGCTTAAGACATTTTTCCTCTGCTCAGGGTATGGTTTTTAACAATATACCAAGGCAAAGACCTTGTTGTGAATACCATTTTTCTCTGTGGATACAAAGGATGCCTCATAATAATAATATTATTTATTACTGTATTATTATTACAGTATTATTATTATTATTATTATTATTATTATTATTATTATTGCATAATGCAAGGGTTGAGAAAGTTGAGGAAATTCTCAATGGGATAAAAAAGTTATATAGTACAGGCTGGCTAGGATTATTGCAAAATTTATGATACCTATATGAATTAACGGAGACATTATATAAAATAATATTGGAATGGATTCTGTACATGCAATACTGAGAGATGTTCTGTTGTAAAAACAAAATTTGTGGCATTCATTGTTTTGTGATGCATTAAAGTCTCCGGCTTCCCTTGTAAGAGTATCCAGATGGTGAGACATATTGCCTAGTTGTAAAGGATATTGCCTATTTGTAAGGGAATTTTTCCAGTACAGCTGTGAATATTATGGTCTATATTGTACTAATTTCTACTTATATACTGCAATATTGGACACCATTTCTAGAATAACATACAGTACATTGTTGCCAGATGTTTAGCTCCGTAGGTTTGTGGAAACTGGGGTTATCTGAGACAGGCATCAGGAATTCCAGTTTTTCACTGACTACTTTCTTATGAGCTTCTGATCATCAAGATCTAATGACTTCACATTGTTTGTTGGTACTCTATTTTTTTTTATTTGCTTCTTTCACTGCATCTGGAGACCTGAAAATGAATACAGTACTCACCATACCTTGCATTGATTTTGGGGATCAACGTTCCACGACCCGGTCTCTGATCAGGCCTCCTGGTTGCTGGACTGGTCACCCAGGCTGTTGGACGCAGCTGCTCGCAGCCTGAGGTATACATCACAGCCTGGTTGATCAGATATCCTTTGGAGGTGTTTATTGAGTTCTCTCTTGAATACTGTGAGGGGTCGGCCAGTTATGCCCCTTATGTGTAGTGAAAGTGTGCTGAACAGTCTCTGGCCTTTGATGTTGATACATAGGGTTCTCTCTCAGAATACCTATTGCAACGGGGGAATTCTGCACATCCTGCCATGCCTTCTGGTCTCATGTGATGTTATTTCTGTGTGCAAATTTGGGACCAGCCCCTCTAGTATTTTCCATGCGTAAATTATTATGCATCTCTCCCGCCTGCGCTCTAGAGAATACCGATTTAAACATTTTAGCCGGTCTCGGTAATTTAGATGGTTTATTGAGTGTATTCTAGCAGTAAAGGATCTCCACACACTCTCCATCCCTTTATACATCCCTCTAATGTATAAACATCAGAGGTCTATGGTTGTTCAACATCCTCCCAGTGAGCATAAGAAATATTGTGGGAATAACTGTGGACATCTTCAAGAGAAAACAAGAGTGTTTTCTAAAAGAAGTGCGGGACCAACCAGGCTGTAGTGGGTATGTGGGCCTGCGGGCCGCTCCAAGCAACAGCCTGTTAGACCAAGCTCTCACAAGTCAAGCCTGGCCTCAGGCCGAGCTTGGGAATAGAAGAACTCCCAGAACCCCATCAAGCAGGTATCTCCAGGTCAGCAATTTCTTCAGCTTTGAAAGGGGCTGTCAATGAGCAACAATATTCCATCCTAGAAAGCACTAGCATCTTGAAAAACATCATCATTGGTACAGCATCTCTTGTTTGATAGGTACTTATCTCTATACCCTGGAGCCTTCATGGCAGTCTTCTGAGGCCGAGAGGGAGACCTTCACCTCTTCTTGCACCTTGGTTCTCCTCCCCAGAGGGTCTTTTGCTTCAAGAGGATAACTTTTCATTTCCTCCTATGTACAGTATTAGTATGATCATTTGGCTGCTCTTCCTCGGGTTTGTTTACAGGTTCTATTCGGTGTGCTTCAGAATAGTTGAATTTCCGGAGGTTCCCTTTCAGTGGTTCAGTCGTATTTGTTTCGGTACCTCCTTAGGAATTTGGATCTCTCTTTCATTGATGGATCCTGCTCCTTTTGAGTACATGTCCGTCTCGTCTTATTGATAGCAACGTGAGGTTTTTGATTCATTCTGGCTGGCTAACATCTCCATCTTTTCCTAACGGGCTTGGCATGCGTTCTTTGAACCTGTACAGTTGATTGGCAGGTGTATATCATCTTTTGGATATTCTGGGGTGGCATTTCTATACTCTGCTTGGGAACTTCTCCCCTGTTTGCACTAATGCTTCCCATGGAAGCATCAGTGCTAGGGATTTGTAGTCCTAAGGTTCTGGGTTCGATCCCCGGTGGACGTGGAAACATGGGCAGAGTTTCTTTCACCCTGATGCCCTGTTCACCTACCAGTAAAAAGATACCTGGTAGTTAGATAGCTGCTATGGGCTGCTTCCTGGGGGTGTGTAACAAAAAGGAGGCCTGGTCGGTCGAGGACCGGGCTGCAGGGATGCTAAGCCCCGAAATCATCTCAAGATATCCTCAAGATAAGATGAATATTGTTAAGTGGCAGCTCCATTTGCAGCTGCTTTGCTGTCCAGGGCTCTTATTGTGGATGATCACAAGGTGTATTTGCACTTAGTGGCAGTCTTGTGAGTTTGTGTCCTCGTGGAAGGGGGCTCTGGGCAGCTCCATGAGAATGTGGTTCCTGCCTTGGCAGCCTTGCCCAAGATGCTCACCCCCCTCTCCTTCAGCAAGCAGTGGCGGCATTTTAATCTGCCTGCCTCGCATGCTGCTGGGCCATGTAGACTCATTTGTTAGATTTGGTTTGGTCCCTTTCCTTTATGTCCCCCCCTTGCCTTATGTCCCTCTTCCCTTTCTTGCCTTTCCTCTTTTGTGGGATACAGTGTCCCAAATTCTGTCTGCGGCAGCCTTCTCCTGTTGGTCTTTTGATAATCTCTTTGTTTTCTCAGGATTCTGGCCTTGCTTAGAGATGTCTGGTAGGTTTGGGACCTCAACTGTTGTTGGTCAAGGTAAGTCATCACGAGAGAAGATTCCCAGCCCACTGCACTTCATGTTGCCAGTTCCTTTTTTTACTAGACATTGCAACTATGTGTCGCAGATCTCTTGGATCGTTTCCTGTAGCCTATGGTGGAGTTGGTCCCTTTTTCTTTCCTGGGATCAGAACTTTTGGGTCAGGTATCCTCCCAGCTCTGCATTAGCTCATTGCAGGCTGGTTGGCCTCAGGTGTGGTCAAGTTGACCTCGTCTCTGGTTGGTGTCCCAGTTGTTCTCGGTCTTAATGAGGGACTCGGTGGACCTATGGTACATCCTTAATTTTGGGTTTGAATCTCTCTTAACAGATTAGCTTGATAATGTACTGCACTGGCTTGACACCCTCTGCTCTGCATCTGGAGTTTTTTTATGCATGTCTATCACTGTTAGTATGGCGAGTGGGTTGCAGGTTTGTCGGTGTCTCGCCATCGCTTTGTCTCTTTGTCGTCTTTCTTTGGTTTTGGTCAAGGCTGTCCTGTCCTTTTTGTCTTGGTTGTTCTTAGATTGGCACTTCATTACTAATACCTGTACTGTCACTTCCATCACTTAGCATTGGCAAAGCTTATTTTGGTTGTGTTTGGTGTCGAGACTTCCTCGGCGCCACTCTGCATGATGTCTTGTGCATTTTGTCACCTCAAGCCAGCTCCTGCTCCTCCTGAACTGTTCTGGTCTTTTGACCAGGTCTTCCTCTCCTCACCTCATTGTATGGTTTTCCCTTCAGCCACCTGTTGAGTACCTGTTGATGATTCTGAGGATCAACATCCCCTTGGCCCAGTCTGACCAGGCTTCCTGATCGCTGGTTTGATCAACCAAGCGGTTCGATGCAACTGTTCACAGCCTGATGTATGAGTAACAGCCTGGGTAATCAGGTATCCTTGAAGGTGCTTGTCCAGTTATCTTTTGAATGCTTCAAGAGGTCGGCCAGTTATGTCCCATATGTGTATGATAAGAGTGTTTTAAGAAAAAAGTTTTGGTGGGCTTTTGATGTTGATTGAGTTCTCTGTCAACATGCCTATTGCTCCTCTGCATTTCATATATACAGTACGGTATATATTATATAAATAATGTATGTAAAGTTCCTTTACCTTCTTTCTAGTTATGTAAGTCTTTCTCTTCGCTCCAGAAAGGTAACACCTTGGGCTGTAAGGATGAGAAATTTGTTAGCCATTCAGGGTAATTTGTTTATATAAAGTTGGAATTTTTAAGGTTTCATTGATTTTCTATTTGGTGTAAATTTTGGTGTATGTGAGTGCTGTTGAAAGTCATCTTTGTCTTGTTTCATTGGTGGTTGAGTTTTACTATTTTCATAATAAATTAAATATGGCCCTTCTTTGGCGCTATGCCGAGTACAAGATTGTTTTAATAAAAGGCTCTTTAGTGTAAATCATTATTGCCAGATTTTATTTTGATGTCAGACTTTTGTATTTTTAAATGTTATTAAACATAGTATATTTTGTTATTCAAATATTTAAAAAATGCTATTTAGAGAAATTATTGTAATGTTTTTGCATATTATAAAGGATATTTGCATTACAGAAAGTAATGTAGAGTTAGAAGACAAAATGTCAGAATACTGCCTCCGCTGGAATAACCACCGACCCAACCTGGTGACGGTGTTCTCCGAACTGCTCACTTCCGAGGCCCTGGTGGACGTCACGCTGGCCACCGATGGTCACTACATTCATGCACACAAACTGGTACTCTCAGCATGCAGTGTTTACTTTAAAGTAAGTCATTACTATATTGTTATTTTTGTCAATGTAAAAGCCATTTCCAGAAAAGATGTGTTTTACCATGGAAAGTTTGTACTGTACAGTAGCTATAGAGCATTGTCATAATACCAGTTCATTTATATTACTAAGCTTTAATATTTGCTGAAGTAATCAAAACTCTGTGGAACTCAAAGTTCAAATTTTAATAAAAATACAGTAGTAACAAAAATGCTAAATTATTCTCATTTATCAGGTAAAGTAAATATACTTATTTTCAGTTTGTGTTAAGAATTTTTGGTTTAGGTAAAGGAGAAAAACTTTGTTTTAACCTATATTCTGTTATGATAGTTTGGGGAGATCATACATATTACAAAAATACAGTAGTACGAATTGGTCATTAACCCTTCTACTGCACAAATCATACATGTATTCTTTTGGCCTAACTGACCAACCAACCCCCCCATCACTAGAGTTAGTAAGGGGGGGGTTGTTATATTGGAGGCAGTTAGCGGACTAGCGAGTTGACGCTTTGCTGTGTGTGAACCCAGCGAGACCAGCTCAGTGGTTCATTATGATGCATAAAAATGTAGATAGTTTTATACATTATATATAAATAGTGTATATGAAATGTAATAACAGCAAAAGCACTGTTTTCTTGTTCTAAGAATATAATAGTCATGTCACTAATATGCACACCTTATTTTTTAGCGCTGTATAGCAATGCTCCACACATTTTATTATATATAGTAAACTTATCCAATTACAACATTGTAATCAGGATGCTAGAAATAGTAGCGACATTGTACCTAGAATTAGCAATGTGCATAGTACTATCGTGGCCCATTTTGCATCATTTGCTGGCATCGTCTGCCAGTATTGTGTGTAGCATTATCAATCCATTGAATTCATTACCACACCCACCAGAATGCCTTAGTGGTTCATAATCATGAATGGAAATGTACATACCCGGTAGATGCATATCAAGTGTGTATACGGTAAAATAACAGCAAAAATAATGTTTTCATTTTCCTAACCAAATAATATACGGAGCATCTTAGTGACATGAATATATCTGTGCGAACCTATGATCTACAGGTTCTGTGATACAAATACTTGTAGCATTATTGGCAGCCCCATTGTATCATTGCACTTAAAAAAAAAAAGCCATGCTAAAACATTAGAAATATGGAGAAAATTATAATGTAATTAACGTGTGCATTTAAAATTTCCTGTAAACATGCAGAGCCTGGTTGAACTCTGATCACATGTTAAGAGATTGACACACACCTGAATGGCATAGGGGTTCATAATTATGCATGAAAGTGTACATAGTATATACAGTGGTACCTCGGAATGCGATTGTCCCTGTATGCGAGGTTTTCGGAAGGCGAGGTGTATTTACTCCAAAAATTTGTCTCAGAAGGCGAGGGTTACTTCGGGAGGCGAGTTTGGACGCGAGTTTGTTGATACGCGTACAGCCGACCTAGCGCGTTCGTCGCCCCTCCGCCCCGCCGCCCCTCAGTTTATTATTGTCTGGCGCTCAGTGACTACCCCCACATCAATTCTTCTCGCGGATTTTCAGTGTTTTGTTGGATTTTTGGTGATTTGTCTATACAATTTGTTATTATATATCTCACCATGGGTCCCAAGAAAGCCAGTGGTAAGGATAAAGGCCAGAAAGCTCCTGTGAGGATGACAATAGAGGAGAAACAAGAGATCATTCGGAAGCATGAGAACGGTACACGTGTTGTTGAACTTTGTAGGCAGTACAACAAAGCCACATCAACAATATGCACTATACTTCCGAAGAAAAATAAGATTATGGGTGCTAAAGTGGCAAAAGGAGTAAGAACATTAACGGCACAAAGACCACAAATACTTGAAGAAGTGGAAAAGTTGTTATTAATTTGGATACACGACAAGGAGTTGAGGGGTGATAGTGTTTCGGAGGCCATTATTTGTGAGAAAGCCAGGGTGTTGCACGAAGACCTTCTAAAGAATACCCCTGCAACGAGTGATGCAGATAAGAAAGAGTTTAAGGCAAGCAGGGGCTGGTTTGAAAAATTTAGAAAGAGAAGTGGTATCCATAGTGCTACAAGGCATGGGGTTATGTGATGTGATTATGGAAGGGGACTCCCCTTCCAAACAGTAACTCCTCTCCTCCTCCCCCCTCCTCACCATCTTCCATACGCCTACAGCACTCGACAGCAAGGTAAGTAATAACTGGAACACAGTTTTGTAGGTTTATTTAGATGAATTAGGTAAATTAGGTATAAAAATTTAGTTTGATGTGGGGTTTTTGGGGTAGTCAGGAACGGATTAATTCATTTCCCTTTATTTCTTATGGGGAAATTAACTTCGGAATGCGAGTTTTCGGAAGGCGAGGCGTCTCCAGGAACGGATTAAACTCTTATTCTGAGGTATGCCTGTATGTACTGTATATAAAGTGTGTACAGTATACAGACAATGTTATTGTTCTAAGCAAATAATAAGCTCCGGGTAAGCTTATTATTAATAATAAGCTCCTGGTAAGCTTATTATTAATAATAAGCTCCTGGTAAGCTCCAGGGAGCCCCTGTGGCTCCCCGGAGTTTACCAGGCTAATATGTATGTATTAGACCATGGCATCAGTTGGAGTTCTTGCCTACCGGGGACCACGAGCCAGAACCTGGCCCCCTCAGAGAAGCACGAGGAGTAATGGCCTATGGAAACCCCCGTGTGTTTGGAAGTATTCTATGTCTGCCATCGACTGGGGTTTGGGCACTCGGAATAGTAGGCGTAACAAAACAAACCCCATGTGGTAAAAATTGCTACCTAAAACTGAACCAGGAGGCAGAAGTCCCAAACTAAAACAAGCAAACATCACTAACGCCGTCACGCCGATCGTCTACGCAGCCCCGCCCCACGCCGGCTGCTGCAGCATTCAGTTCCTCAGCTAATGGCTACATATCCTTCCCGGCTTGGTGCCTTCTTTGATAATTACTTACTTCTCGTCTGATGTGGACTGTGGCAGTTGTCGACTTTGGCCTCTGACTCTTGCAGTTCTGTTCCTTGTGGTGTACTCTACTGTGTATGGTGTGTAGGTCAGGAATAATTCATCAGTACTGTAAGTACCGCCCTTGCGTCTTGGGCTTATTTTCCACAGGGAGTTCGGGAACCGCTTCCATAGGGGTCTTTTGCTGCTCGGCAATTGCCCGCCCCTTGGGGCCAGATGGACTTTTTGTTGCCACTGTTTAGCCTTGGATAGGAAGTCGTATCACTGCTGGTAACGATACCTGCAAGGTATTGTGCAGCTTGTCTCCCATTATACACAGTGACCGGTTCTGTTCCTCCTGGGGAGGAACAGAACCGGGCCTGTGTGCTTTCTTTTTCTTTTTGTTTATTTTGCCTGGTGGGGTTCTGCCTCTTTGGTTTATCCACCCTTCTCTTGTATTAGTGGTCCTCCACTAGACCCCTGTGCTTGTACATATTGCAGGGGTTCAGGTTTTTAGCAGTTCTCTTGGTAGTTTCGGCCAAACCGGTTAGCAATACCTTGCCTGGGCCTTTCTTAGCAGTCAGCCTAATGGCCCTGGAAAACCCCATTGGGGCTCTTTGGACCTATCAATGCATTGTCTAGGTCCCAACTTGCTGAGTGGGAGTTTGAAGGTTGCTCTGTCTCCTTGTCTCTGGATGACACTCACCAGTTTTGCCGCCATCATGCTGCCTGTTGGATCAATGACACCTTTGACCCAGAGTCTTGCTCATTGCTCGTGGTCCACATTATCCAGTCTTCTGATACTGATGTTTGGCTATAGACGGCTTCGGCGTTGCATACTAGATATCGGTTACTGCAGCGCGCTAGGTTGCTCACCCGGATGCCGCGAGGCTGCCTTGCTTGGGTTATAGGGACCCAGATATGGGGGCGTTAGTCACTTTGACTTTGGTTTCATCCGCGCTCCCATGTCCTTCTCCTGTTAGTGTTGTTCATCATGCTCTCTGCTCCCGGCTCCCAAACGTCTGATGGTTTTGGAATCGGAGTGGAGTTCAGATGGTAGTGGGACTTCGGTGGATTTGGGGAATGCCCCATCCAGGTCGGCGACGGAAGCATTCGAGCCTGCTCCTCCTGCCGAGGCTTCTGGGTCTTACCAGTGGACCCCCCTTCTTCTCATCCTTTCCCTTGGACTCTGCCTTTTCTTTAGGGGGCAGAAGGTGTGGAGGACGAGTCTGCCCTGGGTCCTGGAAACACATGAAAGTCTGCCCTGGAAAAACATGAGGGTTTCCATAGGCCATTGCTCCCCTTGCCTCTCTGAGAAGGCCAGGTTCTGGCTCGTGTTCCCCAGTAGGCAAGAATTTATGCCACGGTCTAACACATACATATCAGCTCAGTAAGCTCCGGAGAACCTCCTGAGCTCACCCAGAAAATGGTGTTTCATTACATTCAATACGGATTTTTTAATGAAACTACTATAATTGAATTTATATTTCCACATGAATTAACAGCAGAATTACAGTACATCACGAAACATCTTCATGGAAATAAAATTGAACTAACTTAAATTTATAATGTTGTGGAATTCTAAGCTTTCTTGATGACCTAAGATTGCAATACTGTACAGTATTATACTTTACCATGCAGAAATGTAGAACTAGAGGACCTATGTGGTATATATGTTATACATAACATAAATATATAATGTGTAATTTAACAGCTTAATGAACATAACTTAGCTCGATTATATTCATTATAATGAACATAACTTAGGATTCATTAACTTAATGAACATAGCCTAGGATTCTCGGACGGCGTCCGTCTCTCTTCCCCCTGCGGCTATGCTTCGGCTGCCTTCCCACTTTCTGCCGTTCTTGAAGGGGACCCCGGGTTGCTCAGCGGTTGCTCGAGCAGCTGTGCCTGAGCCTGAACTTTGCCATGCTGGTTTTCCTGCTGGGCAGGGTTTGGCTTCAGAGGCTGTTCTGGTTTTTTTGGGGCAGCCCATTTTGCCTCGCGATCGCTGGGTTTGACCCCCAGGGTCCTTGCGTCGGTTGCTGTGTCTCCTGCTTTCTCTTTGGATTTTTCGGGGTTTGGTGCCAAGGCACCTTATTTTGCCCTCCCTCGGTGTGTTCGCGGACGCCTCATCCCTCTGCTTTATAAAAGCATTGTTTTTGTTGGCTTTAGTCTCTGGGGGTCAGGTTGGAGAGCTTCATGCTCTTCTCCAGCGCAGAGGGTACTTTTCCTTCTATCCTGGGGGTTGTCTTATTCGTTTGCAGCCGTCTCCTTTTCTGGTGAAGAATGAGACGGCGGGCTTCCAGAGGGGGTCTGTGGGTTGTTGATGCCTGGTTGGTTAGTCCGGGGGTTAATCATGTGTTGTGTGGAGGCAAAATTGCGGCTTTATCTCTCTACCTGCGGTTCACTGGTTCAGTGACAGTGGATGCGCTCAAGGTTGATCCGGTTTCCCTGTTTCCCTGTTCCAGGGCTCATGTCTCTCAGGTTGTCTGCAGGGTTATCAAGTCTAGCCAGCCTGCGGTCTGTCCTCATGCCCATGATGTGAGGAAATATGCTGTTCTCGCTGCTGTCTTTGGGAATATGTCTTGGGTTGACGTTCGGGCACGGGGTTTTGGAAATTGAACAGGGTCCTGGCCGCCCGTTATCTTGTCAATGTTCCAGGCCCTCTATGGCTTTGTGTTACTTTGGGACAAGAGTCGTGGTCTGTGGTCGCTTCTTCATCTTGAAATATGGGGTGCTGTCGCCTCTCGGGTAAGTCTCTGTTTTTCCTTCTTTATGGGTAGATAGCTTGAGGGAGCTGATGGGCTCCCCACAAGAGTTGAATGTAATGAAACTCCAGTTTCTGGGCGAGCCCCGGAGGTTCCCTGACAACCCTCCCTCCCTTCGGTTGGTGGTTTTCATCATTCTACGAATTGGAGGATGAGCCGCCAGCTCGCCCGAGCAGGCTTTCCTTTTCCCCCGTCATGGGAGGGAGAGGCGCTAACGAGTGGGCGCACTAATTAGATGATGATTTGCTTGTTTCACTGTTTTCTTCTGGGGGAAGTTCTTTGGTTCTGTTCAGATGTAGGTTGCAATTTTCACCAGTTTGAGGTTTGTATTGTTACGCCTACCTTTCTGGGGGTATACCCCGGTCAATGGCAGATATGACATACTCTAAATGTAGAGTGTTCATATGGCCATTGCTCCCTGCACCTCTCCGAGGGGGGTTCTGGCTTGTCTTCCCCGGTAGGCATTATAAGTCCCGTAACTGTTGTCCCAAAACTAATGTAACGCACATCAGTCTGGATAGCTTCAGACCCAGGGCTCGCCCAGAAAATGACGTTTCATTACATTCAATGCTGTTTTTTTTTTTTTTTTGCCAAATATGCAAGCTTATTTTCTTGCCTAGCTTGCACCAACAATTATACTGGAATGAGAGTTTAGTTTTAATTAATTTGTTTTTAATTTTTACAGGACTTGTTTGGTGCAAATCCGTGCAAGCACCCTATTGTGATCCTCAAGGATATTCGTATTGACGACCTGAAGACTGTGATCGACTTTATTTACCGTGGGGAAGTCAATGTTTCCCAGGACAGACTACAAGATGTGCTCAGGGTTAGTAGTGTGGCCTTTATACTAAGATGTTGAATTATGTAATCCACTTTTTGAATTTTTGGGTAATAAACTGGAAGGGGATGGTAATGTGTGTTGTTTCTTCCATTAGACGGCGGAATCACTTAGGATAAAAGGACTGGCAGAGAACCCTCGTAGCTACGATGAGATGTCTAGTCATGGCGCCCGCTTCTCATCATCGTCACTTGGTTCACAGGTTAGTTTCCTAAACTTGTAGCTTTCAGTGTAATCATTAAAAGTAGATAAACCTACTTTTTTCTGTGGGGAGCCCTTCGGCTCCCTGAAGCTATCCAAACTGACATGCGCTATATTAGTTTGATGTCATCAGTCCCTGGAGTTCTGTGCCTAACAGAGACCAGAGTCAGAACCTGGTCCACTCAGAGAGGCACAGGGAGCAATGGCCATTATGAGCACTCAACATTTAGAGTATGTCGTGTCTACCATCAACTGGGGAGGTCACCCAGAAAGATAAGTGAACCAAAACAAACCCCCAACTATTAAAAATTGCCACCTACATCTGAACAGAGCCTAAGAACTCCCCCAAAAAACAGACAAGCAAATCATCGTCCAACTAGTGTGCTCGCTTGTTAGCCCCCCCCCCCTTCCTCCCGCCCCTGAATGGGTGGAGGTGGAGCCTGCAACCCATCACCTCAGTTCATTGACTAGATGTCTCCTCTGGCCTCACTTTCCTGTCTGGATTTTGTCCTTGGGGCTCTTACCAGCTGTGTGCGGAGCTTCATGATCTTATCTGGCGCAGGGGTTTCTGCTCGTTTGGCCCTGGTGGGTGTATTGTTTGTTGGCAGCCTTCTTCTTTTCTGGCAAAGATTGAGATGGCTGGCTTCCGGAGGGGTCCGTTGGTTGTGGATGCTTGGTTTGTTAGGCCAGGGGTACATCGTGTCTCATGTCTGGTGGCGGCTTTACGTTGCTACCTGCTGGCCACTGATTTGGTGCCCATGAACGTGCTCTGTGTGGATCCAGTTTCCCTGGTTCCCTGTTCCAGGGGCTCGTGTTTCTCAGGTTTTCTGCAGGGTAATAAAGTCTGGCCAGCCTGCAGTCTACCCTCGTGCCCATGATGTGCATAAGTATGTTGCTCTGGTCGCTGCTTTTAGTAATGTCTTGGGTTGCCATTCGGGTGCAGGGGTTTTGGCAGTCGAACAGGGGTATTGGCCCCCAGGTATCTTTGTGAACATTCCGGGCTCTCTTCGGCTGTGTGTTGCTTAGGGATGTTATTCGTGGCCTGGAGTTTCATCTTCGTCTTGAGACCTGCGGTGCGGCTGCCTCTTGGGTAAGTCCCTCTTTTATTTATTTGTGAGTAGTTAGCTTCAGAAAGCCAATGGGGCTCCCGACAGAAAACCAGCATTGAATATAATGATTCGCCATTTTCTTGGCAAGCTCCGGAGGCTCCCTGGCACCCTCCCTCCCTCCGGTTAGCTGTTTTTCATCATTCTATGAACTGAGGTGGTGGGCTGCCGGCCCGCCTGAGCAAGCTCCCCCTTACCCCATTCCTGGAAGGGGGGCACTAAAAAGTGGGCATGCTAGTTGGATGGCGATATGCATGTTTGTTTGTGTTTGTTTTGGGGGAGTTCTTTGGCTCTATTTGGACGTTGGCTGCAATTTTTACCAGTTGAAGGTTTGTATTGGTCCTCCTATCTTGGAGTGCCCAACCCAGTCAATGGCAGACATGACATACTCTAAATGAAGAGTGGTCTTAACACTTTCGCGAAACGGCGTTTGAAAAAAAAACTTTCCCCAAGTGAAATGAGCGTTTTGGCGATCGAGCGGCAACATTTAAAAGTGTATACTCTTGTGACTGTCCTGACATTAATTTTCGATGTACGTATTTCATTTTTGTTCCGATGTGTTCGCAATAGAATGTTCTAGAAGAACATAAGTATAAAATGTCACCAAAACATAAGTTAGATCAGCGCCAAATAAAAAACTACGTTGATCACTAGCCGTGAGCGCCAGACAGCAACGAAATGTTTCTACTATCTTCAGGTTTGTCAACTCCACACTTGTCCTACAGGGTTAATTTTGCTATCACTGAAATCGCAATAAAATTCTCTACACGGACATATGCATATAAATATAGAATCAATGTCGTAACCGACCCACAAGAGTGTGGGAAGTGGCCGAAGTGTTACCCGCGGCGGCATATCGGCGAAACCCGCATTGAAAAGTGTATATTCAATTCTCTGTCCTGACATTATTTTTCGATGTACGCATTTCATTTTTGTACCAATGTGTTCGTAATAGAATGTTCTAGAAGAACATAAGTATAAAACGTCACATAAGGATGTGTTCGACCGGCAACAAATATAAAAACTACATCGATCATACTCGTCGTGTCAATAATACAATTGTTTTACCACGATGATTCACTGCCATGCCATTCTCCCAAATAAGCTCTTCGGCTATTAGAGAAAATGTAAATTTCATGGGGAACATTTCTAAACTATCCCCAAGTCGATTGGATCAAAATTGGAATTTATACAAATATTTATTCTTGTGACACCCGCCAGTGTCACCCTTGCGGAACCCGAACAAAACTTAGTGGCGCGCTCATGCGCCACTCCGTGGCGAAAGTGTTAAGGCCATTGCTCCATGCGCCTCTCTGAGTGGACCAGTTGTGGTGGTGATCTCCAGTTAGGCACATAGAACTCAAGGGACTGATGACACTAAACTAATATGGCACATGTCAGATTGGATAGCTTCTTGAGTCTCCGGGGCTCGCCCAGAAAATGGTGTTCCATTACATTCAACACTGTTTCTGGGGGGTAGCCCCCTTCATCTCCCCGGAGCTATCCAGGCTGATATGTATATCATTAGACTTTAGCATCAGTTATTGAGAATGGAGTTCTAGGCCTATTGGGGACCACGAGCCAGAACCTGACCCCCTCAAAGAGGCACGAGGAGAAATGGCCTATAGAAATGCACGTGTGTGTGGAGCATTCTATGTCTACCATCGACCAGGCCAGGCACCCAGAAAGGTAGGTGCCCCAAAACAAACCCCTAATCAGGTTAAAACTACTACAGAAAACTAACAAGGAAACAGGACTCCCTAATTGAAAAACAAGCATGACGTCACACTTGCCGCGCTGCTTGTCTGTGCAGCTCACCCCCTCCCCGGGAGAGGAAATGGGGAGCAACAGACCCATCGCTCCGGCTATCCTCCTGTCAGTTCTTGGCTGATGTGATTGTGGCTCGGTTGTGTGGCTTCAGCTCCAGATTCTGTCTTGTGTTGTGCTGTGCCTTGTGTCCAGTACTGTCCCTACAGTGGCGTGCGAGCTGGGAGTAATATTCTCAGATACTTGGGCTGCATGTGCTTGGAGTTTCTTTCCCTAAGTGCCCTGTAAGTACCGCCCTAGAGGCTTGGGGTTATCTTCCACAAGTCACCTTGGGGTCTACTTCTGTTAGTCTTTTACTGCTCGGTGATTGACCACCCCGAGTGTGTTGGGGGGGGGGGGTTCCTCCCTTGTTTACCTTGGGGTAAGTGGTAGTTTTTGAACTGGTAGGGGCGCGGGGTACTGCGCCCCTAGTTTTCACCTATTACAGCGGCCAGCTCTGTTCCTCCTGGGTATGTTAACCTCTTGCTGGGTTTTTCTTTTCATTTTTGTTTGTGCCTGATGGGAGGGGGGTCTGCTTTTTATTTCCTTACCCCCAGTTATCTTAGGGTCTTGCCCTCCTGTGTTCGGTGGTACCCCCTGCTTGGCCTTCGTGAGTGGACATGCCCTGGGGGTTCAGTTTTAGAAGTTTGTTTGGTAGACTTGGGCTCCGGCTAGCAATAATCTGTCTGGGCTTACTCTTGGCGATAACAGTCTAAGGGCCCTGGGGAAACCCCACGGGGGCACAAGGGGTCCAATGGATGCGATTCCTGGGTCCCCTCTCGCCCTGTGAGAGGTTGAGGGCTGCTCGGTCCCCTTGTCTCGGGGCAATGCTCGTTGTTTTTGCCTCCGTCATGCTGCCTGTTGGGTCGGTGACACCTTCGACCCAGAGTCCTGCGAGCATTGTTGCTTGTTTGTGATTCGCTTAACTCAATCCCCCTGATAACACTATCCCGGTTCAGGTGGCTCAGGTGTTGCATACTTGGTTGATTGCTCCCCTGAATGCCCTGAGGCTGCCTCACTTTGCTTGTAGGGACTTGGACTTGGGGGTTTGATTGTTTCGGCCTTAGTTCAGTCCGCACCCCACTCGTTCTTCCCTGCTGTGGTTCATTCTGGTCCCCCTTCCCCCCCCCATGCTTTTGGCACTGGAGCGTCTGTGGGCTTCGGGGTTTGGGCGGGGTTTAGAGGATTCTGAGTTGCGTATGGGTCTGACCAGTGGGCCCCCCCTTCCTTGGTGTTTTGCAGCTGCCCCGGCTTTTTCTTTTGAGGCCGGGGCATTGGAGGACGATTCGGCCCCAAGTTCTGGTAATAAGATTCCCAGGGTTCGGGGGGGCTGACTTGGCGGGGGCTTTGAGCCCCATTGGACCTCATCTAAGTTTTCCTACCCTTTGAGTGGGGCTTACTGTTACATGGAGTGGGGGTTTTCCGTCCCTCTCCCCCTCTACATACGAGTTGGTTTTGGTGTTGGCCCCTCCCTGGGTTCGGTTCCGTGTCCCTTCGGGTCCATTGGTTCCATCCTTCCTCTGGGTAATTTTCACAGCATTCTTATCTGGGACATATATTATTCTCCATGTCACTTATGTAAGAATCGTATCGGGATCCTACATGACTCTTGGTCACATATGCCAATAGGCCCATATCTGCCTCCATGATTTTGTGCTTGAGTATCAAGGGTCTTGAAATGAACTTCATTAATTCACACATTATTGGAATGTCTGTCAATTTCTGGTGAGGACTACTTCCAGTCTTTCTGGGACTAGTTGGTCCTCTTCCGTACTACTTATTCTCTTTCCATATTATATCAAATTATTTTCTAATCACATCTCTCCATCATCTGTCTCAGCGATAATAATAATAATAATCGTTAAATAAACATTGTAGGCTACCCTCCCGGGAGAAGGGTTGAGCCAGCTCAGACCTCACGTGTCCTGGGCATAGCCGGAGGGAGATTGTATGTTTATGGACGGTGTAAACATGTGTTGGTGTTCAGCGACCTTTATCACAGTTAATATGCCGCACTACCTCATCTAATCTCTCCAGTCATAGCCCCCTAGATACTGGGGGAGTTCTGGATTTTATATACGAGGAAAATTCCTAGCTCTTTTTTTCTGTATACGGGTGTAGGGTGGCTCGGAGTGACACCGCCTCCACCTCTACACTTCACCTCATATTCTACTGCACACTCAACTCGGGATATACTTCACTAGTGATGCTCCTAGACTATTATATGGCTATGCTGTGTCATACCACTATTGTGCCTACGCTCTACAGGCGAGATTATATGGTCTGGCGGCACCGTCAGCTTGGTGCTGGTTCTCGATTTTTGGACGAGTGTTGGGTACTGTTTGTGGTATGTTGATTGGCTACATTGCGTGCATCTTAATGTAACCTTAATATGTCCATATATACTGAGTATATATATATTGTTGTTCGTTACACTGTGGGGGCATAGGTTCGAATTTCAGTAACTTTTTATTTACTTTTTCAGCGACTGCATCTTTTCTTGACTCTGAACACTCTATATATGCCGTCATTCAGTGCCCTGCTGCATCTTTGTGCTGTATATACATTGGAATATCTCTGTATATATGGTTGCTCTTGTACAAACATTAGCAATTGTTACCTAAGACATTTTATTTTAATTCATCATATTGATAATACTCTCTTGTCCCTAGCTGCTGGTATGTGGTCCATTTTTAAGGTCTTTCCATTGCATATTTGCGTATTTCCTACCTCTATGCTACACATTCTTGTGTATATTAGTACAGTACAGTACGTGCATATTGGCTATACTAATGATAGTGCTAGACTGGACTATGTACAAGTTCGGTTCCCTGTTTTGAACTGACCAGCATTCAGTTATAACGCTGAGTTCTTTCCTCTTCTTGTACCACAATACCGGCTGCTGTATTGCAATGTCTGCAGGTGGATGTTGATTCCATTCACCCGCTCCTGCCCCCTCCATTCATTTTCATTGGGATGGGGGAGTGGGGGGCTAGGAATTACGGACTTTTCTTTGTGTTAGTTTTCCATACAGGACATTTTATTCTCGTGCAGTACTCGTCCTAAGAAGTTCTCCTTATTCGTTCATCGGCAGTGTGTGTGTCGTTCTGCCCTGCTGGGGCTGGTTGCGCCATTTATGTGGGATATATTAGTAGTAGTGGGAGTTATGCCATATCGGAGCTGTTTTGCTTTTCCCAGTGGCTGCGATATGGAATAGGTGTTTTTCGTTACGCCGGTGACGTCCGATCCCCTGTCGGGCCTAGCCCAGGAAGTGTTTTAATTTTGTTTTCATATCATTTCTTAACTGCTTCCTTCCATCATATATTATTTTGTACAATGGGAATATAAAGGTTAACCCTCTTAGTCCCTAGCATTTCGCTCAAGGAGATTAAACGGCCGCTTCTAGTCATCCCAAAATTTTGTTAGCTCGGTGACTCTGCACAGACATTACTAATGGTCAATTACATCTTCCAGTCTTCATCTTACTTGTATAAGACCGTTTTCTGTTATGGTGAATTTATTCCCATTTTCAATATTTATGGCAAAGGGGATTAAAAGGCCGCCTCCCGTCAAACCAATGTACAATGACGTCATCCTTAATCTATTTTAAATCTTGTATTTACTTCCAGTCTATGTTAATCAAAGCATCAACTGTTGCTATTATATGAACTGCAGTAGGTCTATATCCCCCTTTCATCTCCATTTATGCACCTCAATAATGTCACTCTATTAATGTTCTGCGGGGTCTGCAGTTGGGCTGTTTCTACAAGCGGTGGCTCCTCATTGTTGTCCGTAATCAGCTTTGTTGGTCCTTCGGGGGTCCCAAAAGGGGGGGGGGTTCCACCTGGACGGGCCGTGTCTGCTCGCCCGGGCTTGTTCTTCCCGGCTCGCTGGGTTCGGGTTCCTGGTGGCCTGGTGGACATTCTATCTGGTTCCCTGACAGCCTTGGTTTCAGGTGCTGCTTGCTCGGTGTCCGTACCCAGGGGTTTTCCCATGGCAAACCTCTTTCAGATGCTCAGTCCAGTCCGTTACGGGACCAGTTTGGTTTTCTCCTCGAGTCTTCGCGTCTGGTGATTTTGACTCAAGTCTATCGCCTCCTGTTTGGTGATCAGGTGACTTTGTTAATAGTGTCCTACCTGTGTGCTTTGTTGAGGTGGCAGTATGGGGTTTCCTGGCAGTCTTTACTTTTTCTTTGTCTCTTCCTAGGTATACTTTGCTCTTGTTGAGATGGTTTTGTCCTTTTTTCTAGTGGTTCTTTCAGGACCGTCTTCATATGCCGTTTTCTATTGCTTCGTATGGAGCCACTACAGCTTGCTTTCAGTTTTGATGTTCCTTCTGCACCGTTTCACAAGCTATCTACGGTGTTGTTTCACTTCTGGCTTGCTCATGCGCCGCCTGAGCCATCCTGGTATTTGGACACGTTGGTCCTCTCTCTTCCCCTCGGTTGGTTGTGGCCCCTTCGGTTCCGGATTGATTCTCGGAGGTTTCTGCTCCATTAGGTTCTGGTGTTAGGTTTGTTTGTTGCAGCCATTCTTCTTTTTGTGGCGAGGTTGGGTCGGCTGTTTTTCCGGAAGGATCCCTGGGGTTGTTGCTTGGTTGGTTTTGGCCGGGGGGTGCATCTTCTTGTGTCCAGTTGTGGCTCTCAGCCATTGTCTGCGTGCCGTGGCCTCTGTGGACCCGGACGTGCTTTACCCGGGGTTCCCTTCGTCTCTGTTCTCGGATTTGGGTCTCCCGGGTCGTCTGCGGGGTTCTTTCAGCGTTGCCTGTTGTCTTGCTTTCGGGTTATAGGTGCGGGGTTTCCGCCTCCCGGGTTTATCCCTCTTTTGTTTTTGGCTTTGGGTAGGTAGCTCCTGGGAGCCGAAGGGGCTCCCCCCAGAAAACCAGCGTTGAATGTAATGAAATGCCATTCTCAGGGTGAGACCCGGAGGCTCCCCGGCAAACCTCCCTCCCCCCGGTTGGCGGGGTTTTCACGTGTTTTGACATCCACCCTCGAACTGACAGGTGGATAGCTGGCACAGTGGGTCTGGGGCTCCCTCTTTTTCCCTGCCGGGAAGGGGGGAAAGAGGGAGTTGTGCAGACAAGCAGCACTGCAAGTATGACGTCATGCTCATTTGCTCATTTTTCAATTGAGGAGTTGTGTTTCCTTGTTAGTTTTCTGTAGTAGTTTTAACTAGATTCGGGGTTTGTTTTGGGGCACCTACCTCCTGGGTGCCCGGCCTGGTCTATGGCAGACAGAGAATGCTCCACAATCATGTGCATTTCTATAGGCCATTGCTCCTCGTCCCTCTCTGAGGGGCCAGGTTCTGGCTTGTGGTCCCCGGTAGGCCTAGAACTCCATTCACACTGACTGATGCCAAAGTCTAATAATACACATATCAGCCTGAATAACTTGGGGGAGCCTCCGGATCTCGCCCAAAAAATGGCATTTCATTACATTTCTTTTAACAAAACTTAGTACAGTGTGTTCTCATTCTAATGAACCCAGCTCTAATGAATTCCTGAATGGTTTGAGCAGATTGTATTAAATTCAGATTGATTAAATTCAGTCGTCGTCCCTTCAATTTCTAGTGTGTGGTCTGGTCAACATACTTCAGCCACGTTATTGTGACTCATCGCCTGCAAATTCAGATTGCTCAGTGGAAATAGAAATTTTCAATTAGGTTAGTATTGTTCATCCAAGTCATGGGTAAGGCTGCATATTGAGAGGCGACTGTGTTATTATCTGTGATTTACCTAACCAGAGTGTAAACTATTGTACACTGCTTAAAAACTTTTAATCAAAATACAATATTACATAATATTTTAAAACTGTTATAAAATACTAATACTATATATAAAAATTGTACACAAAGTCAAAAGTGCTTCTATGATGCCATGTGTTATCAGTGATAGTCGGTACCGAAATAAATTATAATTTAAGTTCCGATATTAATAAGATATGTAAAAACCTTTAACAAAAATACCAAAATGTGACATTCAGTTAAATAATATAATAATTCACTGTGTCTGGGGACAGACAGCCAGTGTATACACGTTAGGCTTATTTTGAAGCTCTTACATAGGAAGGTAGAATTATCCAGTTACATTGGAAGGTGGAATTATCCAGTTACATCAGAAGGTAGAATTTTCCAGTTACATCGGAAAATAAAATTATCCAGTTACATCAAAAGGTAAAATTATCTGGTAACATTGGCGGGTACAATTATCCGGTTACATTGAAAGGTAGACTTATCTGGTTACATTAGAGGGTAGAGTACTCCGGTTACATCAGAGCGTAGAATTATCTGGTTACATCAGAAGGTAGACTTATGTGGTTACATTGGAGGGTACCATTATTCAGTTACATTAATGGCTAGGATTATCCAGATACATCTGTTGGTAGAATTATCCAGTTACATCTGTTGGTAGAATGCCCCCGTTACATCAGTGGGTAGAATTATCCTGTTACATCAGCTAATAGACTTAAGTGGAATGATGTTGGTTCTGCTTTTTAGCTCAAGGGATTAAAATTCTTAATCTTAAATTCTGAGAGTTCAGTGATGCAAAAATTGGTGGAATTCATTTCATCCTGATGCTTTCTGAAATTAATTTAGCATAAATATTTGTGGTGTATTAAAAGTACTGTATCCTATGTACCTAGGATTGGTCTTGAAGTTTCTATTGGTATCAATTTAATAATTAGAATAGTTTGCTTGCAATAAAATGACTCTGTATTGCATCCTTAAACATGTATGACTAGCTGATCTAGTGCATAAATTGTCATCTAATTTGTTCTATGGAAACTTACCCTCTGTTCCCTAGGTCACACGACAGAGATCTTCACTAACGGATTCCCGAGAACAGTCACTTAGTCTTGAGGGGGATGAAGAGGGTGATCCGGGCACACCACCATCCTCCAAGAAACGTAAAATCACAGCCTCTCACGACAGTTCAGAAAGCCTGCACGGTGAACATGGTGCGTGTGCTATTAGTGAGTAGTACTGTATATCAAACCTGATATATTTTGTTTTTGTTTATGGAAAAATGCTTAAGGAGCCTCCTGGCGGTTGACATTGGTATTTGTAAGTTTGCTTCGCTATTTTTTGTTTATTATTCAAGCCAGGCAATCTTGATGGATTAATTTTGAATTCTGGCATTTTGGTACTTTGTGTTGCGTTTAGTCAGAATATCATGTAAGTGACGGACTACCCTCGATCCAGGCATGGCTTTACATTCTTGCAGAACACATGCAGAGTTAAATTAAATTGTAGACAAAAGGTTACAGTGCAGATACTTCAAAATTGCCTCAAAATATATATTTTTTTTTTTTATTTGTTTTAATAAAATATTTTTTTATGTATATAATGCAATCTTCAAAATCCAGACATCATTAACAAAACCTTCAATAACCTATAGATTCTACGATTTAATCACCCTCAGAAATTTGGATTAGATCCAACTTCTTGTAAATGTTTGCTGTGAAAAACATTTTGAAAAACTATAATCAACATTATATAGAAGTTGTTAGATACTGTAATTGTTAATTTTATTGCCTATTTTTGTGCTATCAGTAGTAAATACAGGAATGTAAATAATTTTTTGTTACTATACCGTTCAGTGGGGTTCATAGAAATGTTGAGTGATGAAAGGAAAATAAGAGACAGGTGGAGAGAATACTTGAAAATTCTTAATATGTGGAGGTGATGAGAGGTTCTAATGTGAGCATGATTAAGTTTGTTAGTGTGAGAAGAGTGAGTAGATCATTAAATAAGCTGAAATTGGGGAAAGTTTAGGGTGTTGATGAGGTACATGAAGAAATTGTTGTGTGCAGAGTATGTCACAATAACATAAATGAAAATTAGAAACTCAACAAACGCACACAGAAGAGAGAGAGAGAGAGACTGAGACTGTGATGACACAACTTGATAAGGGTCTAGAACAGACCGAAATGTTTGTCATTAGCTTCTTATGTTTGGGTTGGGTTACAAAATTGTTCTAGGTTGTGGATAAGGAAAGTTGTCCCACCGTATAAAAATAAAGAAGACCATAGCAAGTGTAAAAACTACAGAAGCAATAGTTTTCAAATTACAGTATAGTGCAAAGAATGTATGGCAGGATATTAATTGAAAGAGTCCAGGAAATTACTGTATTGAGAAATTTATTGTGATGAACAAGGTGACTTCTGCTGTGGAAGTGTGTGTGTGTGTGTGTGTGTGTAGACAGCTTATAGAAAAGACATGTGCAAAAGATAGTGTTCATAACATTTGTGGACACTGAAAAGCTTATGAATGATTTTGGTGACTAGGCATATAATACTAGGTCTCTCCCTATCCTTCCCCTTGTGCTAGCTCACAGCTCTGGTGGCCAGTTCGGCATCTGTTGACTTGCGGCCTACATCCAGCCCAGCTGAAACTCAACAAGGAGGTGCATTAGTCATTTATGAGTACCTGTCTGAGTTAACTAGAGTTTTGATTATGATGGGTAGATGAAAAATTATCAGGAAAAGCATTATCTATTAACTACAGTATGTAAATATGTAAACATTTTGTGTGCAGTCAGTACGGCAAACACCAAAATTGAGGAGCGCGTACCAAGCTGGTTTGGGCATGTTGAACGAATAGATGAGAGACTGGTTTAAAGATTGCACTGAAGGAAACTTGTGGGTAGGAAGAAATGAAGGCTGGTGAGGTGAGTGGATGAGTTTAGTGAGTCTTATGAAGTGGTGGGCCTTTACTGTGGGTGACTACTGGCTGGCTAAGGTTAACCATACTTTTATGGAAGAGGAGCCATGTGTTGACCTGTCTCCATGGAAGGAGCCATGTCCCTTCCTCATGGGTAGTCAAGGAGTCGCTCTATAAATTGAGTGAATCTGAAGCATATATATATATGAATGTGGAAACTGTATTGTAAATCACTTTTATAAGTAAACATAAAATGTCAAAATGTATTTTGAAACTTATTTATATTTATATTTATAATTTGTTCTTCATTTACTGTATAGTACTGTACTGTGCTATTCTATACAGTATATATTTGTTTAATATATGTGAAAATAGATTTGAGTCCGAATAAATCCTCTGTGAAAAGCTTGAATGTGAAGAAAATATGTAGTGAATACTTTGTGTACATTTGGCGAGTTGCAGCGACATTGAAATGGGGATACTAGACATATCTAGTGTCAGGACATAAGAAAAATATTAATTGAAATATATTAAGATATTTAGTTTGACAGCCCAATGGTCAATACTGTAATGTGTTTACTAAACATGCATTCATGAAGTAGTTTTAATTTTCATTTAAAGATTTCTGTGATAAAATGTTTTTATTTTTCCTTGCGATTTCTCAACGTGCTGTGTCAATGTAGTTAACAGGATCATGTTCATTGAAGTTATGCAGTCAAGATTTTGACTTTAATGAATGGTGTACATACAAGGCATTTTTCAAGTCACACAACCCAATTCATAATTTTCATGTTAAAGGAATGCATGTTATGTGAAAATAAAGGTACTAATCCCACGGGGAGTGTTTATGTGAAAATAAAGGTACTAATCCCACGGGGAGTGTTGGAAGTGACCCCCCCGTGTTCCTGCAAGCACTGCTTATGCATGTTTACTGAAACTTGACTCACAGTTTTGTGAGCAATGCCTTTAGTTACTAATAAAAGATTTTGAAGCCAAATTTTCCGCTACAATGTACTGTACGTGCACATTTACTTTGTTGTAGTGTGTTATAACTCTTGGGATAGGTTGCTTCACACGGCCCTGCTTACCTTCTTCACAATATGTGCATGTTGTTTAATCCTCTTCAACAGTTTCCCTTCCAGCACTTCCATGTTGACCTGTTTTTCATTAAGTGAGCAATTTATTTAATATCAGTATTAGGTGCTTTGGGTTGTGTAACTTGATGAATACCGTGTATTTGCGTGTAAGCTCAACATTTTGCAACAAATTGGTAATAAATTCTACAGATGAGTTAGATTATCAAGGCAAGACTTACTGTTCATAAAATGTTGAGCATTGAAAAAAAAACCTTATATTTTGGATTAATAAGTTTTTTTAATCAGATTTCTTCATTTCTATTCTCTATTTTTTATTTAAATAATACTGTATTGTATGGGAAATGGGAAATCTTCCTTATTTAGTGATATTGTTAGTTTTTTATTTTTGTAATGAAGTAAGACAGTACTGCAGTAGTGAGGTGTTTTAAGAACACTGTAATAAGAAATCTTTGACAATTAACATTAAGCTTGTGTGCCCACAATTATTTGCCACCCCATGGCCCCGTGGGATGCATTCCCAGTTGTTGTTTGTGAAGCCACTTGCCTTGGTGTTTACTCAAATTTGTCCCTGGTAGTTTGTATGTATTTTAGTGGCTATTTTACTCTATTGTTTCAGAAGAAACTGAAAACGAGGAGAGGGGGCGGTCTTACGAAGTGAAAGACGAACCACTTGACGACCACGAAAATGAGAAACCACAAACCAGGGATGTAGATCAGGAGTCAAATGTGGTAAGTACAGGTAGCTAATTAGCGTAAGTGAATTGGCTCGCTGTAATTGCTTTCATTTTTATTTTTTGTAATTTGATTTATCTGTAATGCTTTTTTTAGGACATACTATTACTGTTACTTGAGTTAAATGTATATTTTTCCAGAAATTTAATAGATTATCATATGTTATTAGTAAGTATATATATTAACATTAATGGCAGCTGACCGAGTTCAAGATGAAAAGATTAATTTTAACATATTACTGTTTTAAATTATTTATTATTCACCTTACTTAGATGTAAGTGGTGTAGCCTATGGCTGACTGAGTCATAGTGAGTGTTCTGTGTATGTGGTGTGTGTTGCATGTACGTGAATGTTTGTGTATGTGTAATTACCTAAGTGTAGTTACAGGATGAGATATACACTTGGGGTGTCCCGTCGTCCCAGTACTCTATCATATGACTTTGAAACTACTGACGGTTTTGGCCTCCACCACCTTCTCACTTAACTTGTTCCAGCTAGCTACCACTGTATAAAAGGGAGCTCTCTAATTTTTGGGGGGGCACCTTTGTTTCCTTAGCTTGACTGTATGACCTCTGTTCTTGAAGTTGCAGGTTTCAAGAATTCCTTTTTGTCAGTTTTCTCAATTCCTGATTTTTGTTTTCTATGTATTAATTAATTAATTAATCACCGCTTTTCCTTCTACCTTCTAGCTTTGGCATATTTAACACATCTAGTCTCTGCTCGTAGCTCTTGTTGTACAGTACTTCAAGCCATTCTGGCTTGTCTTTAGACGTTCTCCAGTTTATTGTCATGCTTTTTGAGATAAGGGCACCATATAACCACTACATATTACAATTTTGGTTTCATAAAAGTTGTGAACAGTTTTTAATATTTCACCATCCATGAACTTTAAAGTAATTCTGAAGTTGGAAAGCCATGGGATGGCATGTACTCCTTGCACAATGTCCTTTATATGGTTCTCTGGTGACAGTATTATCCAAAATTCCCCCTCTAGGTCACTCTTTGTCAGAGTTCTTTAATGCCTTAATTTCTGCATAATATAGATTTTATGTGGCCTATTTTCTCCTATCCCACATTCCATAATGTGGCATTTATTCACGTTAAATTCCATTTGCCAAGTGTTGCTCCACACTTCTTTTGCCTATGTATTCTTGAAGGACACGACAATCATTTAAGTTGCTTACCTTCCCTAGTAGCATAGCATCATTAGCAAACATGTTCATATAGTTCAGTATTCCCTCTGTTAGGTCATTTATATAGACAATTACCCTTACTTGTGCAAGAACTGATCCCTGTGGTGCTCTACTAGTAACACTTCTTCTGTCTGATACATTGAATCTGATTATTGTCCTCACCTCTATCAGAAATTTTTTTCATCCATGTCAGAAATTTCCTGTTCTGTCTGTTCAGGATAGACTGTCTCCCTATCTAGTATGTTCCAGTTCCCAGAACAACCTCTTATGTGGGACTCATTCAGAAGCCTTTTTAGGTCCAGATACATGCAGCAACACAACTATATATTTTCTGTAAACTCTCTGTGGCTCTACCATAGAAGCTAAATAGATTTGTTACACATCCTCTTCCTGGTTGAAAACCATACTGCCTCTCTGGATTATTGTATAATTTCTCTCAAGGTAGTTCTGCCCCCCTTTTGTTTTAAATATTTTTTCTAGTATTTTGACTACCACACTTGTCAAGGATTCAGGTCTATAATTAAAATGGTCTTTCTTGCTACCTTTTTTGTAGAATGGTACCATGTTTGTCTGTGTCCATATATCTGCCAAGGCTCCTGTACACAAAGATGATGGAAAAATCAGTTTTAACCCTTGCACTGCTCACCTATTTTCGGCAAAAACGTCTTGATGCAATCAAGGACATCAAATGTTCAGGTAAATTTAATGTCAAAATGTTTCTCAACTATTTCATTTCAAAACCCATGAAAACATTAAAAAACTTAAAATATGCCAAATGGCACAACTCTGGAGCGCCTAAAGGCGCTTTGCGCAGTGCAGTGGTTAAGTGGGGTCCTCAGCTCATGTGTGTGTTCTCTCAGAACCCAAGGTGAAACTCCATGTGGCCATCTGGGCCCACTGCCTTGTTTCTACCTAGCTCCGTGAACAGTTTTTCCATTTTGTCTCGAGACACATCTATGTACTCTTAAATATTTTTTTGATGATTTTATTTTGCATCATCATACTTTGGAACTGTTTAGTTTTTCACACATTTCCTTCAGATTCTGTAAATCTGTTCCACATTTTCAACCTCTGGATTTTATCCTTTATCTGCAATTTGCTTATAATTAATATATAGAATAGGCCTGGTTCAGTTTTACACAATTCCCACAATTCCTTTTTCAAAAGTTTCTTCTGCCTCTCTTCTCACTACCGTGTAGTTGTTTCTTGCGTGTTTGTATTGCTGGTACGTTTGTGGCTTAGGCCCCTTCCTATATTGATTCCATTTTCTTTCCTTTTGTTCTCTGGCTCTCTCAATTTATGTTGAACCAATCCTGTTTTCTAATAGTGAAATGTATGTATTGTGTATTTGTGTGTATTGTGTGTGTGTGTGTGTGTGGCATAATTACGCACCTGCAAACGTGTAAATAGGTACATGCTGTTTTATTTATTTCTCGGTTATAATTTGATGGAAGCCTTTGTCAACTTGATATTTATTAACAAGCCTGCTGTATAATCTGGTAACCTTACCTTGCGGTTCTGAGGACCAACGTCCCCACCGCCCGGCCTCTAACCAGGCCTCTTGGTTGGTGGTCTGGTCTACCACCAAACCAGTTCCAAGAGGAAAAGTTCCTCTTGGAACTTTTTACATCATAATTCTAACTGTTATTTATGTTTTATTTTATCATTTGATTTAGTTTTTTCTTCTTATTCAGTTGATTTTTTTCAAGTAGAGTTTTGTATTATATATATATATATATATATATATATATATATATATATATATATATATATATATATATATATATATATATATATATATATATATATATATGTCGTACCTAATAGCCAGAACGCACTTCTCAGCCAATTATGCAAGGCCCGATTTGCCTAATAAGCAAAGTTTTCATGAAATGTTTTTCGACTACCTAACCTACCTAATCAAACCTAACCTAACTTTTTCGGCCACCTAACCTAACCTAACCTATTAAGATAGGTTAGGTTAGGTTAGGTAGGGTTGGTTAGGTTCGGTCATATATCTACGTTAATTTTAACTCCAATAAAAAAAAATTGACTTCATTCATATTGAGATGGGTAGCTTTATCATTTCATAAGAAAAAAGTTAGAGAAAATATATTAATTCAGGAAAACTTGGCTTATTAGGCAAATCGGGCCTTGCATAGTAGGCCGAGTACGACGTTCTGGCTACTAGGTACGACATATATATATATATATATATATATATATATATATATATATATATATATATATATATATATATATATATATATATATATATATATATATATATATATATATATATATATATATATATATATATATATATATATATATATATATATATATATATATATATATATATATATATATATATATATATATATATATATATATATATATATATATATATATATATATATATATATATATATATATATATATATATATATATATATATATATATATATATATATATATATATATATATATATATATATATATATATATATATATATATTATCGTTAAGCTTTGATCATTTTGGTGTAATTTTGTTCAGTTATAATATTTATAATTTGACAAGGATTTGTATATACAGTACTGTAAGGTACTTTTTATATTAATAAATAAATTTAAAATATTGCGGGAGAGAGTGAGTGTACAGATTTTTTGAGGTGCTCAAAATTCCTTTAAATAAAACTTCCAATGTAAGTGCAGAATGTTGAGTTTTGTACAATAGTACCTTGGCATAGGGTCTTGGATATTTCATTCACTTGGGTCCTATGAGCCTGGAACCTCCGACCCCCTGGAGTGGCCTAGCTCTATCAACCACACTATAAACAGCCACAATAAGGAGGGATTCCAGAGCCAACTAACTGCTGCCCAACTAGAAGTTTACGGCTTCCCTAAGCTGTCACTCAAGCATGGAGGACTTAGGTGATCCACACCCCAGTCATATAAATTTATTGATGTTAATACCCACGTTTATTGTTGACAGTTTTAGGGTCTAGGATAGTTAATGTGCAGTGATTAACTCTGAGAGAAACAATGAGAGTTACTTGCCCTGGGTCTCTCTCTCTCTCTCTCTCTCTCTCTCTCTCTCTCTCTCTCTCTCAGATGCTTTGCTTTTGTAATATATTATTACATATTAACACATGTATTTTTTGTATTTATCATTTTTATTCATGAATTCTCTGATTAACCTAGGATAGAGTCGTCCTGCTTTCCTTAAATATAGTTTGCCTACTTTCTGGCCTTAATAAACTGGGCTATTTTCCTTGCATTTTCAACCTTATGTATCGGCTATTGATGGAACATAGTGGTTGCCAGTTAACTCTGCTATCACAATAATCTTGCATAATTGTTCACTCTGGAGATGTCTCGGACAAGAGAAGGGTTAATATACTTTGATAGTTGTAATCCGCACATTTTCATCATTTTATTATTTTAACTCTTACTAATAGGGAAGATTATTAAGCAGTTATATTCAAATTCTCCTGAGACTCAGAATGTAACAGTTTCTTGACAAAGAAACCTTTGCTGGAATGTAAAAGGTACGGAATCGGGTGAAGGAATTCTAGGCCGAAAATAATAGAAAATGATGTAATAGGTGAAGATCTCTAGAGACAGATTTGGTAGTACGATAAGAGGCTCATGCTAACCAAAAAGGTAAGAAAGTTTTTAATGTTTACTTTTATAACATTTATATAGCTATTACTTATATTTGGTTTGTAATTTTCATTGCTGTAAATGATTCGGAGTGTGTTTGTGAACTGACTCGATGAGAATGCTGGTGAACTGGTGATCTGACTCATTGAGAATGTTGGTGAACTGGTGATCTGACTAAGTGCTTTTGTTGATAAACTGACTCGCAGAGCATGTTGAATGGATTCGGTGCGTTGGTTAACATAGCGTTGTGCTGTGCGTTGGTTGGTCGGTTGGATGCACTGGGTGTGATGGTGAACTGAATCGCTGAGCATGATGGTGAATTGACTAGTTGAGCATTATGGTGAACCGACTCACTGAATATGATGGTTAATTGACATGCTGAGTGAGATGGTGAACTGACTCGGTGAAGATGCCGGTGAATGGACTTGGGGAGCGTGCTGGTGAATGGACTTGGGGAGCGTGCCGGTGAATGGACTTGGGGAGCGTGCCGGTGAATGGACTTGGGGAGTGTGCCGGTGAATGGACTTGGGGAGTGTGCCGGTGAATGGACTTGGGGAGCGTGCCGGTGAATGGACTTGGGGAGCGTGCCGGTGAATGGACTTGGGGAGCGTGCCGGTGAATGGACTTGGGGAGCGTGCCGGTGAATGGACTTGGGGAGCGTGCCGGTGAATGGACTTGGGGAGCGTGCCGGTGAATGGACTTGGGGAGCGTACCGGTGAATGGACTTGGGGAGCGTGCCGGTGAATGGACTTGGGGAGCGTGCCGGTGAATGGACTTGGCGAGCATGCCAGTGCTGGCGAATGGACTTGGTGAGCGTGCCAGTGCTGGCGAATGGACTTAGCGAGTGTGCCAGAGAGCACTCTTGGTGAGCGTGCCAGTGAGAAAACAAAATTTATAGTACAATATATTTTTCTGGTGTGCAAGTGTTTGTGTATATAAACCCATCCTCATTTAATACTTATATATATATAAATGAATGAACTATGGGCACAAGTGTTAAATTGTGTGAAAATGGTGTGTTTGCCCGCCTCTTTGTGACCCCCCCCCCCCTCCCCTCCCCTCCCCCATGTGGGATTGTTATGCCAGTAGCACAGTGCTGGCACACACCACTGCCACTCACCGTTTGATGATTGGCTGGTGTAATTTCTAAAGACGTTGGCAAGATGTGTGATGATTCTTCTGGACAATCCCAATCTCACTCTTGTCCTCGGTTGTTTGATCTCTCTTACTCGAAATGGTACGTTTAGTTCAAGATTGTGTGAGAGTCTTTAAGACAATTGAATGGGAAGTTTTAGATAATATAAGATTGATTTATTTTTTTATTATAAGCTTATTAAGTGTTATTTACTTCGTAAATAATATGTTTTGGTGAATTGATATTGTATGAGGATTAAATGAAGGAGTGTAGTTGGAAGTATGGTTGCAGTGGACACTTGGGTGTAGTAGATAGATGTATTTATAACTTCTTTTGGAGAAGTGTGTAGCTTAGAGTATGACTACTGTGTGTGCCTGTGTGTGTGTATGCGTGCGTGTGGGTGTAATAATTGGGTATGTTGCTTATAGAATCGTGTAGCTGATGCAATGCTGATGCTCCAGGGTGCAAGTCAAGACACGGGTGATGAATCCAACACGACCCCTGGGACCAGCAGCGATTCTACCTTAACGTCGTCACATTCACAAGGTATGTAATTATTACGGAGTTGTCATTAGAAGAGTTTTGTTTAGGAATGTATGTAGGATTAAAGCCAAACACATATACCAATACCTTGATTATCAGGATGTTCCATAATTGGAATCTTAAAAGCAGATTATAAAAATATCCCCAAAATTGGATAAAGCACATGCTGGGTCAGCAGTGTTGCCACACATTGACCGTGTATGTATTTGACTTCCAATTTATGCTCTTAAAAAGGCAGAAAAAGTTGTTCGTTGCTTTCTCAGGAGGTGACTTGAGGGTAGGTTCTTTAGAAAATGTTGAGCAAGGCCAGGATAGCCGAGCTGCGTCAGATAGCCAAGCTGTGTCAGATAGCCAGATTTTGTAATTTTAGAATATGGTTAAAGCTGTAGCCAAACAAATGTTGAGTGTAAAGTAGTTATTACAGTACTAAAACTCAGTCGTTAAAATTTGAGTTTTAAGCAGTTTAGTTATGTATCCATGAGTTTAGGCTGCAGTTTTAACCATAGGTGTCAAATGGTTAATAGGATGTTTACATGTGTACTTTGAGTACGTCGTGACATGTTTCAGATAGTCAAACCCTTTCCATTATGTTTTGTAGTACGTCCTTGGGAAAGTGTAAGCAGGCATTGCTGCAGTCTGTCTTGAAAAATAAAACGTGCATAGATCATTTATAATATTTTTTGTTTTATTAGTAAAAATATAGTGCCTATTGAGACTTCCTATTTATATTGCTTAAATGTCATAATATTTGATATGGAACAAGTAAAATCATAACGGAAGAGTTCACCAATTGGGATCGTTTGCCGACAGGAGGACTGCCGAATGGGAGATTAAAAGGGATAGCCTATCTTATGTTTGTGTTCTCTTTCCATGTCTACATTACATGGTAGTCTTGGCTCACACTAAGATGTGGCTAGTGGGCTTCATTCACACTATATTCACCTGACAATCTTCTACACACTATAGGGCCACCTGGTGGTCTGCTACACACACTATAGGGCCACCTGGTGGTCTGCTACACACACACTATAGGGCCACCTGGTGGTCTGCTACACACACACTATAGGGCCACCTGGTGGTCTGCTACACACACACTATAGGGCCACCTGGTGGTCTGCTACACACACACTATAGGGCCACCTGGTGGTCTGCTACACACACACTATAGGGCCACCTGGTGGTCTGCTACACACACTATAGGGCCACCTGGTGGTCTGCTACACACACACTATAGGGCCACCTGGTGGTCTGCTACACACTATAGGGCCACCTGGTGGTCTGCTACACACACACACTATAGGGCCATCTGGTGGTCTGCTACACACACACTATAGGGCCACCTGGTGGTCTGCTACACACACACTATAGGGCCACCTGGTGGTCTGCTACACACACTATAGGGCCACCTGGTGGTCTGCTACACACACACTATAGGGCCACCTGGTGATCTGCTACACACACTATAGGGCCACCTGGTGGTCTGCTACACACACTATAGGGCCACCTGGTGGTCTGCTACACACACACTATAGGGCCACCTGGTGGTCTGCTACACACACACTATAGGGCCACCTGGTGGTCTGCTACACACACACTATAGGGCCACCTGGTGGTCTGCTACACACACACTATAGGGCCATCTGGTGGTCTGCTACACACACACTATAGGGCCACCTGGTGGTCTGCTACACACACACTATAGGGCCATCTGGTGGTCTGCTACACACACACTATAGGGCCACCTGGTGGTCTGCTACACACACTATAGGGCCACCTGGTGGTCTGCTACACACACACTATAGGGCCACGTGGTGGTCTGCTACACACACACTATAGGGCCATCTGGTGGTCTGCTACACACACACTATAGGGCCACCTGGTGGTCTGCTACACACACTATAGGGCCACCTGGTGGTCTGCTACACACACACTATAGGGCCACGTGGTGGTCTGCTACACACACAGTATAGGGCCACCTGGTGGTCTGCTACACACACACACTATAGGGCCACCTGGTGGTCTGCTACACACACACACTATAGGGCCATCTGGTGGTCTGCTACACACACACTATAGGGCCACCTGGTGGTCTGCTACACACACACTATAGGGCCACCTGGTGGTCTGCTACACACACTATAGGGCCACCTGGTGGTCTGCTACACACACACTATAGGGCCATCTGGTGGTCTGCTACACACACACTATAGGGCCACCTGGTGGTCTGCTACACACACTATAGGGCCACCTGGTGGTCTGCTACACACACACTATAGGGCCATCTGGTGGTCTGCTACACACACACTATAGGGCCACCTGGTGGTCTGCTACACACACACTATAGGGCCACCTGGTGGTCTGCTACACACACACACTATAGGGCCACCTGGTGGTCTGCTACACACACACTATAGGGCCATATAGGGCTGGTGGTCTGCTACACACACACTATAGGGCCATCTGGTGGTCTGCTACACACACACTATAGGGCCACCTGGTGGTCTGCTACACACACACTATAGGGCCACCTGGTGGTCTGCTACACACACACTATAGGGCCACCTGGTGGTCTGCTACACACACACTATAGGGCCACCTGGTGGTCTGCTACACACACACTATAGGGCCATCTGGTGGTCTGCTACACACACACTATAGGGCCACCTGGTGATCTGCTACACACACTATAGGGCCACCTGGTGGTCTGCTACACACACACTATAGGGCCACCTGGTGGTCTGCTACACACACACTATAGGGCCACCTGGTGGTCTGCTACACACACTATAGGGCCACCTGGTGGTCTGCTACACACACACTATAGGGCCACCTGGTGATCTGCTACACACACTATAGGGCCACCTGGTGGTCTGCTACACACACACTATAGGGCCACCTGGTGGTCTGCTACACACACACTATAGGGCCACCTGGTGGTCTGCTACACACACTATAGGGCCACCTGGTGGTCTGCTATAGGGCCACCTGGTGGTCTGCTACACACACACTATAGGGCCACCTGGTGGTCTGCTACACACACACACTATAGGGCCACCTGGTGGTCTGCTACACACACACTATAGGGCCACCTGGTGGTCTGCTACACACACACTATAGGGCCACCTGGTGGTCTGCTACACACACACTATAGGGCCACCTGGTGGTCTGCTACACACACACAGATATATGCATACACATCAGTGGTAGACAGTTCGAACAAGCTAAGTGAGAAGGTTGTGGAGGCCAAAATCATCCATAGTGTCATCTCCTTACATGACAAAAACTACTGGGAAGACGGAACACCTCGAGCGTAGCTCTCTTCCCGTAACTACACTTAGGTAATTACACATGCATGCATGCATGCATTTTTAAATGAGAGCAGAAATGAAGAACAAATAGTTAATTTTTTCTACCAGGTAATGGGGTTTGGGAAGCCTGTGAAGAAAAGCAAACAAACAAAATTATTATAGAAAGTGGGTAAGCATATCCCTAAAATTCCAGTAAACTGCATTAACAGAGATGGATTAAGATAAAAAATACTAGAGCTAAATGATAGAATTCAGCTTAACGTGCCAGAAATTGTCACTCTAAGAGACAAAATTTTAAGATAATATTTTAAAGGGGTCCTATTCCTGAGGGGCTACTCAATTTGAAGGTGTAACAGGAAAATGTTAAAGATGGAGGCATTGCCATGCTGCTACTTCAGGAATGATAGAATGCCTGAAGGTAAGAGAATTGATAATCGACATTAATGTGAAGTTGGCACAATATCACTGGAGATTTGTAATCAAGGGGATACACTAATAATCATAAATGCCTACAGTCCACCAGAAACCTACACATGGACAAAGGAAACGGATGACAAACGAGAAGACCTCATAATGATGATGAGAGAGGTTCTAGTAAGAGGGGCTAGAGATAAATCATGATCGTTGGTACTTGGTGATTTGAATTTGAAAAATATAGAGAGGGAGGCCTACGAAGAACAGAGAACTTGTGGACTGGCAGATTCATAAACCCCATCTTGGAGACATTGATGTATCAACATGTTAAGCAGGCCATGAGAATGTGGGTCAAGGATGTTCCTTCAGTGCTGGATTTGATATTCACCAGAAAAGAAGAGGAGAGTGTGACATTCAAACTTTTGCTCCTTGGGTAAGAGCAACCATGTCCTTTTGAAAATAAACAAAAATAAATGTGTTATAATCCAAATGAAAATGGAAAAATGAAACGGTTGAAAATTTTATTTCGAGAGAGAATACCAAGGGGAACTTAGAAAGTTCTTTAATGAATTTGATTGGAAATTTTGTTAGGCAAGGAAGTAAATGAGATTTATTCAAAGTTTTGTGAGATATATGATGAAGGCACAAAACAATTTACACCAAGACAGAGATGAGAACTAGGAAACAGGATTTGTTCAACAGAAATTGTGAGAGGGCTAGAGATCAAAAGAACAAAAATGGGTTCAATTTAGGAAGAGGTGTAATCCTCAAATGTACCAGCACTACAAACAACCAAGAGACAACAATATGGCACTGAAAAATGAGGCAGAAAGAAACTTTGAGAAAGGGATGACAGACAAGTGGAAAACAGAACCAAGCCTGTTCTATGAATTTATTAAAAGCAAATTGCAGGTAAAAAATAAAATTCAGAGGTTGAAAATAAGGAACAGATTCACAGAGAATGAAAAGGAAATGTTTGAACGGTAACAAACCAAGGTGTGTGTGTGTGCAAAATAACATTTTCAGACAACCTGACACAATATGAATTTCAGAGAATAACAGAGTATATAGAGGTATCTGGAGTTGATGTTGAAAAATTTCTCAAGGAGTTAAATAAGAACAAAGCAGTTGGCCCAGTTGGAGTTTAACTTTGGGTTCTGAGAGAAAGGGCATCTGATCTTGGCACTGCATTTTAATTGATTTTTCAGTTCTGTTTGTGTACAGGAGTCTTTGCAGATATATGGAAAAAGGCTAACAGTTCCAATCTATAAAAATGGTACT